CCCCCCCCCCCCCCCCCCCCCCGCGGAGTTGACTTTGAAGTCTATTGACTCTTGAGAGTTTAACCTTTATACTTTGGGTGGTTGCAGCAGGCAAGCCATGGAAATATATCACAGGAGTTGATTAATCGTCTGATGAGTATTGTTGGCCACTTGGTACAAGTTAGAACATTGAAGGTACCTCCTTTCGATGAAGAATTGGCATGTGACTCATCAAATCTTGTTGCTTTGCTTTTCAAATTTTCTCTCTATGGAGATGGAGAACCGTGCTTGAAATCATTAAAACACCTATAGACTCAATTCTACACGCTCCAAATTTCTCAGTACCTTTTATCCAGTAAACTGCAAAACCCAATTTTAATTGTTTCAAGTAGCAAGATAAGTTTCCTATATATTTTTCTAAACCAAACAACTTGCCTTTGCCATATCTGGCTTTGTCGAACAAATTGAAACTTTGCTCCGATAATCATGATCAATGGTTCTGTATTTCTCTCGGTCCATATATGATATTACAGAACATCTGCTCATATTTAAGAATGGTCAACAAGGTCTATCTTGGGCAAAGCTTTGTCGCTGTTCACCAAAAAGGAAAAAAAATTAAAAAATAGAGCATTACATATTCCATAATTATATGCGTCATTGACCGTTTGATAAAAGTTGCTATGATTCATCCTCGACTTTCACTTATAATTCCTGTTAAATTTTAAGATTTCTATTGTGTCAAATGCAAGGTAAGTTTGTTTACTCTAGGGGTTCATTTGATTAGAAAGAAAAAAGTGAAAATAGTAGAAAGTGAAATGAAAGAAAGGAATATGAAATGGAAATGTACTTTCTTGCATATGTTTGGTTATGATGAAAATATTTCTAAAAAGTAGTCAAAAAACTTTATAAAACTACCATAGTATAGACATTTGGGTGTTTTTTGCTTCATTGGAGGAAAAATGTAAATGTGTAAGGACTCCTAGATAATATGGAATTCCAGTTCAGAGATAAGAAAAAGTTGGGTGGAGGACTCTTTGGGCATGTACATTTTGAAGGGAATTAAAAGTGAATGCTACAAGCTTATTTGGGTTGAAAGGGAATCTTTAATGTCTCACTTTCTACCATAATGTTGCTTAACAAACACATACAAATTTTACTTTTTTATCTTTCCTTTCCTTTTTGTCACTTTCTTGCTAAACTCCTTATTATCCCTGACCAAAACAATATCTCCATGTTTTTTTACAGAGAAACTTAAAAGTCATGGTTAATATGGGATTGTCGGCAAAACAGGAGAAAGATGACAGGTTTCAGCAGATAAAAAAGGATGTTGTCGAGATGATTAAAGTGCGTGTTCCCCTTATGAAGTCCAAGGTGCTCTTTGAAAGAATTTCTTTCTCACCCCCATCCCTCCTTTCTCCCCACCCTGGCATCAAGTGTCTTTTCAGTTGTATGCTATTTACGCCTTGTCTGAGAAATAAGTTTGCTTCATTTTGCATTTTTTTTTAAAAATTGGAAACAGTGATCTCGAGAATGTTTTCTGTTTCCTGGTGATGCTTGTGCACCATACCAATGACACACAGTTTGTATAATTCAAATTTGATATGTCTTGATTGATACCAAATGTCTGATGTGTTTTGTCAGATACTTGAGGAACAAGCTGGAGCATCAGATGATTTTCAAGAAATTGAAACAAAAGGAAAAGAAGTCCTTAAAAGAAAGTTTAGCATGGATGATGCTTTGGAGGACAAGATATGCGACCTCTATGACCTTTATGTTGATGTACTGACTATTATCAAATATTCAAGTATTTGGTTTGTGGGAGTATTTTTTTCATAGCTGATCTTAGTTGTGTTCTGGTTTCCAGGGGCTGGAAGAAGATGCAGGTCCACTGGTCAGAAAGTTGTATGCAGAGGTACTTGGCTTGCACTTGCTTTCCTTTATTTTGGGAGAAAGAAGGGCTATTTTGAATTATTTGCCTGCTTTCATGGCATTTCTTTCAGCAAGATCCTCGAAAGAACCTAAAACAGTTTGGGCCTTTTGGCAACAGCTTTTCCTTTTTCTTGTTTTACAAAAAAAGCTGTTATAGGACTGAAAGAGTGTATATTTTATTTTGGTGCTGTTCTTTTAAGATGAAAACTCTATTGAAATAGTTGTGTACCAGGGTTTTTTTTTTTTTTTTTTTTTCTCTTTCTTCCTTTTTTAATCAGTGTTGTGGCAAATTAGAAACTTTATTCTATTTTTCCCGGAACTCTTGCTTTGTTAAGGTGTTCTTTGTGACATTTTTGGTGCAGCTTGCAGCATTGTGGCCGAGTGGATTCATGGACAACCATGGCATTAAACGAGCTATATGTAGGGCAAAAGATAGGAGGAGGGTATTTTACAGCCGGCATAAGGTACGGATGTTAGAGTTAAGGCTTTTGTTCTTCCTGAACTCTCCTATACTAGACTGCTATCTGAGTTGCACACATGGATCATGTTGCTTCTAACTCTATTAACTAGTGACGTTAAAAATAACTTAAAATTCTGGAGGAGAGTACCACCAAGAAAATTCTGCAGAGGTGATGCTATAATTTGCAAGTCTATCCGCTATTTGGTTTCCTTTTCTGTAAAGAGAAGGGTTTGAAGGGGTTGGGCATCACTTGGTTATACAGATTATAGGTTGTTGGAGTTTCAGATTATATGCCATGCAAAAATGGGCCAGCTACTAGTTTTGAGTGATAACATAAAAGCATAGAATCTGGAAACAGGTGTAGTAATTGTTTATCTTTATATTGCTGTGCAAATGCTTTTATATGTAACCTGCAAGTATGACTGCTCCAAGACTGGTGCTTCACATAATCTGCTCTATTTTTCTAAATGTTTTAATATTCAGGATCAGGAGAAAATCAAGAGGAAGAAGATGTTGATACCAAAGACAGAGGAGACTGCTCGAGGTGAAGCTAGGCCAATTGCTCAGCCACAATATATGCAAGAGCAGTTGATTCATGATTCAAATATGCATGGTCTAACTTCACTCAACAGGCCAGTTCCCAATGCAACATCAGCAAATACAGTTGTGCAAATGCCCATTACAATTATGAATGGTTCTAGCATAGACCGGCACAAACAAGAGAAGGTTAAGGGAAGTTCCAGTAATTCCAACGACACAAGGACAACAGATGCATTGACAAAAAAGAAGGTAAAGCGGAAACCAGAATCGGAGTTAAGTGAAGCTCACTTCCGTCCAGATAAGTTGACTTCAGTTCAGGGAGAGGAAAAGCACAAGTCGCATAGGCAGGTTGCTGGTCCTGTCCAAATTGCAAACCTTCAATCGGCTGCTGTTCCAAGCGTTGAACAGCATAGGTGACATTGTACAGCTTAGTTAGGAAATTAAGAAGACTTTCCGGAAACAGCCACTTCGCATGCGGGAAATAACTGCACACATTTGATCCTCTCATTTCCGCAGTAGTAGAAGCCCCTGTGCATTTCGGCTGTCCTTTTATGTAACACAACCTGTGTTCTATTTTGTTTCCTTTTTGGCGGCTCTATTCTACGTGACCTACTGATCGTTCTCTTAGTTTTGTAATTATATATCTCTGCCATTTTCTTCCCTTGTCATCACCAGTAGTAAGTGGTAGGGATTGCAGTATCATTGTAATGTTCAGGCAGGAAAAAAGAACAAGCCATTCATTAAGAACTATTCAATATATGAAGTTTATGCTTTTATGGGAACAAAATTGCTTTCAGCTAAAGCCTTGTACAATTTCTTGTTTCGCGTTGGCTAAAGTTTTTGTGTTGCCAATGTGTCTGAAGGTAGGTAGAAAAACTATTTTGAGAAAAGTTGGTGCTGGTGGAGGGGGCTTGTCACTGCGTGGTGGGGGGTGGGTCACCCGTTAAGGTGTGGGGAACTTGTAGGTTGGCCCGTCAACGGATCAGATATGAATCGGAATTTTTTATATTCGATTATAATTTATGTGATTCCATCCGATTCAGTTATTTGACGAATTTTAAAATTTTAATTTATATCCAAATTCATTAATTTTTGGATATCTGGTCTAAAAATTTGATCTGTTTATATTCAAAGTAAAATTAACTTACAAATATCTCATAACAAATTTAACTTTGTACAAGAAAAAAATTATAATTTTTACTCATTTGAAGCCTTAACAAACAACATAAACTAAATATATCAACTTCAATTTTAATTATAAATAGAGAAGAAGATAGTAGAAAAAAAAGTGGGAGATGAAAAGATGTCATTTGATATAAACTCATAGAATATAAAATATAAAAATAGAAAGTATATATATAATTCGGATCACAATCTGAATTTTGATAATTGATAAAAATTATTAATCTATATCCAGTTGATCGAATTTGGATCGAAATCTGATCCATTGGTAGGTTTGTTCATAGGTGCCTCTCTCTCTTTGTTATATTGATTTGATTTTGATCAATTCCGAGGTAAAGACAGACGAGGTTATTTTTCTATAGAAATTTTTAATTGAGTCAGTATCGAGGAATAGTTGTGTTTTTTTTTAAATAGAGAGTATTATTGAAGATGTTCCAACTATACATAGTTACAACACTATTTCAATAATTAACAAATTTGGTCTCTTATTTGACGACTTCATCTTAATCATCTTTCTTTGTTTTATTTATCAAAACTATGACTATGTTAAATAGGGTAAGACTATGATACTTATGCGGTTCTATGTTAAAAAATGATCTAACCTATTTATTTTTAATTACATGATCTATAATCAATGATTGAAAAAATAATAAAATAAAACAAATGCACACGTGGTGTGTTTTATTGGGCAAAATAGAGATAAAGTACCATAATATTTTCCGGTTAAATAAGTTATTTTGTTTTTTTGGTAAGTTTGTTAAGTAAGTGATTATTCAAATAAAATCACTTATGAGGGTTTTTTTTTTAATTTTAAAAAGGATAAATATTATAATAAATCCTCAAACTTTTTCTTTTATTTTAAAATAATCCTTAAAATTTTAATTTAATCAAATTAATTCTTAAATTATTAATTTCGCCTCAAGTCTTTCTATTAAATTTGGGCATAACAGTTCAATATATGCAAACGACAACCACGCCCCCCCCCCCCCCCCCCCCCCCCCCCC